CACTCCAACTATATATATTAACGAACCATCTTCTTCTTAATCTTATCTTAATCTTATCAGTACAACATCATAACAAGTATCACTCCCGTGTTATGTCGAGTTTGCTTCAAAGTGTATGTTAAGTGTGAGGGATGCCAGTTTTCACTAGGTAGTAGTGTTAAACCTTTCATGTCGACATCTCACATGAATAATCTTTTCAACTCATTCTATTTTGTGTTAAAGTAATAAAAAACTACTCTTTCCGTTTCGAAATGTAAGTTGTTTTGGAGATTTTTTTTTGTTTCAAAATATAAATTGTTTTGACAGTCCTAGATACATTTTAACTATATTGAATATTGTGTGACCACTAGTATTTTGCAGTCTTTTGTATGATTAGTCAAATTATTTTTAATAAATATATTAAATGATACATTTTAGTACAACAATAGTTTTTTAATATCCGTGTTTTTAGGTAAAACAACTTATATTTTGAAACAGAGGAAGTATTAGATACCTTAACATCTATTTCGTATTTATTCAGTAATAAAATGTAATTTACCATAGTTTTCTTTTTCATTCAAAAAAAGTGACCATCAAAAAACTATTGTGGTTGTAACTTGTAAGAAATAAAAGAAAGATGTTTTATAAAAAAAAACGAGAGGAAAATTGTGATGGCCATTCAAATGCCTTTGGTCTTTTCATTTTTTTTTTTCGTTTAGTGTTTCAGTTGTCCGGTGGGAAAATTCAGTAGCCATCAATAAAAATCAAAAGTCAAAAAGAAGACTCAAGTTGGAGATTATGGTCAAAAACTAAATTAAAAAAAAGAATAAATATGGCCGTTGGAGATTTCATTGGCCACGGCTCATGGAAAAGTGTTTGTTCTTTTTTCATGATTCTATTTACAAGGTCATGCTTAGTGCATGCACCACCAACACATATATGTAAAGTAAAGCTCTCTCTATACAAGTTGTTTTCTTCTTTAAATTTAGTTTGCTCTATAACCAATTCAAAAAATACTGTAAACTTAAATATCAATGGAGTCACCAACAAAAAAAAAAAACTTAAACATCAGTGAGGTTAATGGTTTGATTACTGTGCATATTTTTGTACAAGTAAATTGGGAAATGTTATAAAATAACATTTTTTTAGTAAGCTATATAATATAGAAAATTTACTTGTGACAAAAAAAATTTATATGTAAAAATCTATTTATTAAAACTAATATTTTTCATACATATAAAAATTATTTTTATTTGGTGTGTTTAGAGCAGAAATATGGGAATAAATGTATTTAGATAATAACTAAAAAAAAGTAAAAATTCTTTTAATTACAAATATTATTAGAATTCTAGTATAATTTTTGTGTATGAGAATTGAGATACGCCTATGGAATGGAATAGTAGATCCCAAAAGCATAAAGCGTAAAAAAAGAATAATAATAAAAGACCACCCAGTGCTGCTCATACACAAAGGAAGGCGCGAATTTCAAGGACGCTTCTGGAGGACAATCAACACCACAACTCCCAATT